AGACATTAATCAGGAAGCTACAGTACTATGGTGTCAAGAACACAGCGCTTAAACTTATTATGTCACATTTAAGTAATAGAAAACAGAAGGTTATTATCAATGGTAAAAGTTCTTCCGGGTCACCTGTACTAATGGGTGTTCCTCAGGGCTCGATTCTTGGCCCATTCCTGTTTCTGGTGTATATTAATGACTTACCTCACCTTGTAGGGGATAGTCATGATATAGTATTATTTGCTGATGATACTTCCTTGATTTTTAAACTTAAACGTCAATCATTTAAATGTGACGAAGTGATAATGCTATATCAAAATTAGTGCATTGGCTTAACGTTAATAATCTGCATTTGAACGGAAATAAAACTAATTGTGTTAAATTTACAACAACGAATGTTAAAAATCTGAATACCAATGTATTTTTAAATGGGGAGGAATTGAGCCCTGTTGTATCCACTGTTTTTCTTGGCATCACTCTTGACGCAAAGCTCCAGTGGGGCCCCCATATATCCAAATTAGCAAGCAGACTAAGTTCTGCAGCCTATGCTGTAAAAAAGATTAGAGGTCTCACTAGTGTCGAGACAGCTAGATTAGTTTATTTTAGTTATTTCCATAGCATAATGTCTTATGGGATTTTGCTATGGGGAAATGCGGCTGATTCATAAACTATTTTTGTTTTACAGAAGAGGGCCATTAGAGCTATTTACATCTAAAACCGAGAGAGTCTTAGAGATAAATTTAAAGAAATTAATATATTAACTTTGGCCTCTCAGTATATTTACGAAAATTTAATGTATGTTCACAAAAACAAAGATAGTTTTAGTAAAAAAAGTGATATACATTGTGTAAACACTAGGAACAAACACAAGCTAGTGATGCCAGTTTCTCGACTCCACAGAGTCAGTAATTCATTCTTGGGGCAATGTATACGCTATTACAACAAGGTCCCGGAAAGTGTACAGGTTCTCTCTATTACCAAGTTTAAATGTTTTATTAAGCCGAAACTGTATAAAAAGGGTTATTATAGTATAAATGGTTGATAATAACCCCTGGGAATGAGGAGGTCGCTTCCAAGCAGTTTCTAAAATAAATTTTGTAAATAGTTCGTAATCATTTATATTGTAAAATTTATTTTAAAAAAAGTCCCGCTGGGTTTCTTGCTGGTTCTTCCCAGGACAGAGGTTTTTTTCGAACCAGTGGTAAAGTAAAAAATAACTTTCAATAAGAATTACACATGTAATGTATATTGAATAAAAAATATTCTATTCTATTCTATTCTATTCGATTCGTCAGAGATAGACGCACTAGGAATAAATGCAACTCATTTCGATTCGACGCATTTCTGCTGTAGTCGACGCCAGGCTTTATATTTACGCGAAGACTACACATTAAATAATAAAAAAATTTGCACAACTTCAGGTTGTTAAGAATAACTCAAACACTATTGGTCTGACCTTGATCAAATTCATATGGGACCACACGAGAAGTATCAGCTTTGGTGGTACAGCTAAGGTGAGCCGATTTCGATGATTCTCTTTTTTATATGAAAGCTGAAACTTCTCGTGTGGTCTCATATGAATTTGATCAAGGTCAGACCAATAGTTTTTGAGTTATTTGAGTTATTCTTAATAACTTATATTGAAGTCGGCTGTTTATTTACTTTATTTTTTATTTTTTTATTATTTTTAAATTATTGGAAGTCGGCAGATGAAACATACACTCGAATTGAGTACCTCCTTTTTAAAGTCGGTAGAAAAGTTCATAAACGTCAGTTTATGTAGTGCTCTACGTCAATTAAAACATGTTCGATAATCTTTAAATTAATAAAACAATATCAACTTAATGATTAAATAACAAAAGTGTTCATTTAGACAATAATACCTAATTACGTTATCGTTAATTGTACATTAGTCTTTTATCAGCTTATAGAATTATCCGTCATTTTTTATTAATTTAAATTTTCGTAGCAGTAGAATCAGGTTGGTGTTGCAACCTTAACCAGTTCTAGAGTCATCCGATAAATCCAGGATCTCAGTGTCACGACGCTTCGCGGCAATATGATTGGTAAACTGTAGACAGTGCCTGATTTAGAGTTCTGACAACCCTATGCCAACTACTCCTCCCACCGCCAGAAGGCTGTGCTTGCCCAGCCCACGAATATATTTACTAGATTTTTATATTTTACTGGCTTCCCTCCCGGCGGTTTCGCCCACGTTAAATAAAATTTTCCCGTGAGAATTAGGTATTTTCTCGTGGTTAAAGAGACAGTCCCTTAGAATGCAATCAGTCTATCTCATCGCAATCGCAACAATCTGTTCAGCCGACGTAATTAGGTATCGGACAGTCAGACCGACAAATTTCTTTCGCAATTATATTATTAGTAAGTATATCTACATATATAGTTTTTTGAATATTAAATTATATGTTAATCCATTTTTATCAAGTATTTCAGTATGGTCTGTAGTAACTATTTTTTTTAATGTAATAGAGGCAAACCAGCATGCGGCTCACCTGATAGTAAATGTCGACCATCGCCCAACAAATGAACAACTGCAACGCCACGGGAATTGCAGCTGCATTGCCGTCCTTTTAGGTCCGGAGAAATTACCAGTGGTAGATAATCCACAAAGAAGTCTTCAATTAGAATATTAAGAAGAACTTAGAAGTCTCGTGAGTTTTGTCCCGATGTGCCTTGGTGGAATTTGGGGGCTGAAATTAATCCGAACAAATCCTATGAGCACCCCCGTGGCAAATGCGATAGAAAATTCAAAGAGATGCAACCAGCGATGAGAACAGTAAGGAAAAACTTGCACTTTGTAAAGTTGCAAGCAGTGTGCCCGGCATAAAATACTGTCGCGCCCTGCTGAGCACACCAAGCTTTCCCTTTCAAGTGACCACGGAACTGTACGTCATTCTATATGTCGACGCCGAAGATTCTGATGCTGGCTGAGGTAGCAAGGGGAGTGCCTAGAAATTAAGGAAATACGACAAAGGGGTTCTTTTAAGCGGTAAACACGTAAACCTGTGTCTTCTGAGGGTTAAACTGGATTAGATTTAGTCGTCCCGAATCCGAGATTGTGTTTAACACTCATTCCAATTCAGACGTCATTTTGTTCCGATACTCGACGACGTATGAGAAATATTAGCACGACTGGTGTAAAAAGCATCACCAGTGCAGTGTTCGCATATCAATGAATGATACTGAAACAGGGTAAGTGATAGCACACAACCTTGTGGAACACTAGCATTAATACGCTTGAAAACGGAACATGCACCTTGATGTTCCGATCTGCAAGAAAACTGGTGATCCAATTGCACAACTTCTCGGGTATCCCATATGAAGCAAGCTTCGAAAGAAGCGCTTTGTGCCAAACCCCTACGGACCCCTCGCTATGTCCAAAGTAACGGCCACGGCCTCTCTCTTGGACTTTACTGCCTCCGCTCCTTTATGAGCCTGAAAAAAAGTTATTGTATTGTCTTTTTTATATATAAAAATTACGTGTCACGCTGTTTGTCCGCGATGGACTCCTAAACTACTGAACTGATTTCAATGAAATTTTGCACACTGTGTGCATTTTGGTCCAACTTGAGTGATAGGATAGTTTTTATCCCGATAAATGACCATCAAAATTTTTTATTGCGAATTTAAGGATTTTTATAGGAAGGGTCGTTGGAAAGGGCAGAACAACGCCTGCCTTGCGAGCTAGTATGTATATAAGTCAGGTAATAAAAAAATCACCAGCTGAACGACCTGGACGAAGCCAGGCTCTCTAAACAGATGGTGGCCCTCTGGATGGTGGATTGCATTATTTTGGAGAACACGGAGATGCTGGCATGTGGTTTGACGCATCTGAGCTGTCGCCTTTTTAGGGGTCGGGTGCACTAAAACTGTCTTCCACGTTCCAGTTCCAGTTCGCACAGCACGATTTATCGAATGTACTTATAAGACAGATAGATAAATTTAATAAACAATAATTGAATCACATTCTTTAATCGATTTTGATACACAAAATTAGACTTTGTGTATAAAACCTGTCAACGTTTTTAGCACTTACCTACCTGTACAACCATAGTGTACAACAATAAAAAAGGTTACAAATATCTGCTGTAAATAACAATCCGCCATTAACAAACTTCATGACTTGATCTGACTGATTTTTTAGACCACAATGGCGACGAAACCATTCAATCAACTCTGGTTGTGCTTGAAATGTAAGATACAAGTTTAACATATTTCCAGCACAATTAATGAAATCAGAACGCCTTTCACATCTGTGATTTGCTGACGAATGCGTTGTTTGCTGAATCGCATAATACTTACTAAAGCAATGCTCTCTGATTATTTGCGTGTTGAAGTGATATTATCGCCGATAAATAAAACTAATTTTAAGGATTTTATCACATTTAATTTATATTCCCGACGTTTTGGGTTCTTTCTGATACCTATGTTGCTATAATTATTTACTAAGAATAAAAGGCCTAACATGTCTTTATGCGTTTACCTTTCATTAACATCTCTTAAAAATATGTGATCTTACGATTGACAGGCAGATCGCAGTGCCGAAAACTCAGGTTTTAAAAACACTTACTAAACCAATAGTGATGGATTCTTTAGCGGATATTTCTTGTCATGATACAACCATATGATAGTGGCATTCGCTAAAGAGAAAAGGCATTCTGTTAAACTTATTACATACTTATATTAAATTTGTTGTTCTGTTTGATGCAAAGGTTTGCATAATAATTAGTGCTTTAGTGATTCATATAAATTTAATACCTTGGGGAAAAGAACATTTAACTAGGCAGTAAATATAAATAAAATCATAGTTTTGAATCACTAATAAAATGAAGACATGATTTCTTTTAAATTATGAAAAAAAAATAGCGTTATAAAGTAGTAGTAAAGTAGTAATAATTAGGCACAAAGACCATAAATATGATAATTCAAATTAATTTCTCATTACAATCATTCAATAGGTACACAGTGCGTATCACATTTTTTTTGAATCATGAATTCAGTTTGAAGTTTGTATTATTCTTGTTATGTGCGGTTTTAGACAGAAAAACTTGCGTAACTTGTTTCCATTTTAATGACATGCATGTTTTGTTATTTTTCGTCTTCGGATCCTTCTGTAATAAAAATAGAAACATATGTTATTGCCTCTACATGTTTGACGCCTAGTTTCTGAGAAATTTTTACAAATTTTATTAACTTATTTAAGATTAGGAATGCAGATAAAATAAATTTTAAATTTTACGTATCCACTCCACATGAGTACTTATTAAGCGGCATTAAGCGGTTAGCTATTGCAAGAATATTACGAGCAGAAGAAGAAATGTTATTTTCTAACTTAAAAGAAATAGGATTCAAAATTAAAAAAAATCAAACATAGAGGAAGAATTATGACTTGTGTTTTTTACGGCAGTAATAAGTAGGTGTTATATAAATGTTAGATCATTTTACATAATAAATTTACATCAGTCTACAAGTTCAATACGTAGTACCTATATTATAATATTTGTGATGTATTTTTTATAGCTCTTCCGAAGTATTTATACCTAGTCAGGTCATAAGTATTGTCACACAGTAAAAACTTTTCTTTTAGAATGCTGGCCACAAAAAAATTTATTGAATTCGAATTTCGAATTGTTCATGAAAATAAAACTGTATACTTTTTAGAATTTTACTCATTCTTAAATATGAAGTGGACGCTTAAAGAAGACCGTGTTGCAGTTATTGCGTTGCATCGTTGCGGTTACGCGCCAATTAAAATTTTTAACATACTGAAAAATTTTAATATAACCAAAAGATTCGTTTATCGTACCATCAAACGATACAATGAAAACTCTAGTGTAGATGACAGGTCAAGAAGTGGTCGCCCTCGGTCTGTTAGGACTCCAGCAGTGATAAAAGCTGTGAAGGCGAGAATTCAAAGAAATCCCAAATGTAAGCAGAAACTGTTGGCCCTTCAGATGGGGTTAAGCAGAACCACGGTGAAAAGGGTGTTAAATGAAGACTTAGGGCTTCGGGCATATCGAAGAAAAACAGGACATCGTTTGAATGCTCGTCTAATGGACCTGAGACTGAAGAGATGCCGCGCTTTGTTGAAGCGGTACGCGGGAAAAAAAATCGGGAAATTCTTTTTTCGGATGAAAAAATTTTTACCGTAGAAGAGAGCTACAACAAACAAAATGATAAGGTGTACGCACACAGTAGTAAAGAAGCGAGCAACCGTATTCCGCGTCTCCAACGAGGTCATTTTCCATCCTCGCTCATGGTATGGTTGGGAGTTTCTTATTGGGGCTTAACAGAGGTACATTTTGTGAGAAAGGTGTAAAAACGAATGCAGTTGTGTATCAAAATACAGTCCTGACGAACCTTGTGGAACCTGTTTCTCATACCATGTTCAATAACAGGCACTGGGTATTCCAACAAGATTCGGCGCCAGCTCATAGAGCGAAGAGCACACAAGACTGGCTGGCGCGCGTGAAATCGACTTCATCCGGCACGAATACTGGCCCTCCTCCAGTCCAGATTTGAATCCGTTAGATTACAAGATATGGCAACACTTTGAGGAAAAGGCGTGCTCAAAGCCTCATCCCAATTTGGAGTCACTCAAGACATCCTTGATTAAGGCAGCCGCCGATATTGACATGGACCTCGTTCGTGCTGCGATAGACGACTGGCCGCACAGATTGAAGGCCTGTATTCAAAATCACGGAGGTCATTTTGAATAAACTTTAGTGTCATAAGAATCTATGTTTTGTTAAGTTCATTTTGGTATATAAATGGTTACATAATGAATAAACTTGTTTCAATTATTTTAATATTAAACATGTGACAGAATGTATGACCTGACTAGGTATATTGAAATAATTATACATATAAACATGTAAATATAGGGTGATTTATGAGTTTAAAGTAACATCTTCAATTTTCAGTCTAAAATTAATTGCATAATTAATGGTTTACGCAAAAATTATTATTGTAGTAATATATTTTGACAAAATGATAATAATATATTGTTAATATAATATAAAAAGTAGATGTTAATCTTATTTACGTTATTGTAACATTAAACCATGTAAAAGTATTTTAAGATTAGTCCAATTCTCATGTTAATGAAAACGTGATGTTATTCTAAATAAACTCTCACCTGTGTCTGATGTTCTTGGTTATTCAATGTTACGTACAATGAAAAACTTAAAAACAACAACTTCAAAGTTATAGCAACTGACACCACTATTAAAAAGGCATAAGACATTGTGATTATTCTATGATTAAAGTTAAAATTAATGAATACAATACAGCGTAACTCGATAGCAGAACCACACAAGTGCGACTTACAATAACGGCCGAACTCACTGTGTTGTTTTTTTCATCGAAGTCGACTTCTCTGCTAACCGTGTCAATCAATTCTATTAGAAGCACCAGAGCTTATACTTAAGCATATTAAACTTGTTTATTATATCCAAACATAATCACTTCTTTATTTTTAATCCTTACGCATATTCTTTAAAAAAATCCTTACGTATATCGTATAAAATTTATTTGGAAGATACAGATTGTTTTGAAATTTTATCATTCAGTTCGATAACGGTGTAAGTGATAACATTTAAAGTTCTTTTTTAAGAGGCGAGTAGACTATGATTTTTTATTTTTATTTATCTATTTAGAACAGCAAACAATATTGTAATATTAAAAAGAGCCCTAAAAATACACCTAACAAATTATTAACAAAGTCATTTACAGGTTCGTTCACGATGTTGTGCGACTCAAATGATTTTTATTATTTATATAATAGTAGGCATTCCATTGCTAATTTAAAAAAAAAATACTACAGCCATCTTAACTTTTTAACTACTTTTTTTTTACAAAATATCTTATTTATTTAATTAATCTACAATATCTAATTGTTAATGAATGAAATAAGACTATTTTTAAATTCAAGGTCAGATTTGGCAAATATATCCAGATATGATATGATATCTTGCTTGAATAATGCAACTAATTGATATAATATAGTTGAGCGCACTCCGACGTTGCGTCCGATACGGTAAAATGTAAAAATGTTTATTTATGCCGGTTATAAGTTCAACTGTTGTTGCTCATTATGTTTTAATCTTAGGCCACCGCTTCTCATTAGCGAGCTTATTATGTTTATCTCACTCAGGTTATGTGAAAGATTAGTTAAGAAAGATCTAGTCGGTTTTTGAACAAATAGTAAAATTACCGCGATGGGGTGTAGCTGCAGAGCAGTACTTAAGGTTTTAAGAATTTATACTCCCGTGCACCTTAAGTATGTATTTGTGAACATTTGAGGAAATTCACTAAACCAGAAAACAAAAATGATAGTAGTTATAGACAATACAGACAGTGACTGGCTTACGAAGTCGTAGTTTCGAAACCATTAATTATGATTGCAAACCGCTACTATCAATAATTTTAGTGTAGTTGACACACACATTTATCTTAGTTGCCAGGTGCTTTTACAAGACTAAGAACAGTACATAAGAATACTTCTATTTACCATTGGATACATTATTTTATTTTGTTGTCACATTGTTAGATCTACCAAGGGACGAGGTAAGTCGGTTATTGTACCGTCTACACAGAACAAATTTTATTGTTAGATCCGAACCCATTAAAGTATTATTGATATGATGTCATAATTATTGATATTCCTTATGGTAAAAACTTGTACTCCTAAGTATAAAGTATAAAACATTGGTGGAAGTAGTTGCATCATTATCTACCTACGTGGAAAATTTATCTCCAAATAAATTTAAGTATATCGAAATACGATAAGTTAGTTAAGCCGTTTATTGTATTTTCATGTCTATAAATTTCTTATGTCAACGGTTTGCAGACATTGGGTTGAATTCGATTGCGTTAACAGCGGAACGACTGTCGCGGCGCGGCCTCGTAAATGACATTCACTCAGTGCCTGCAAGATACTAACATAAATTATTATTGCTTTAAAAAAATTTAAACAAATATTTGAACAAATGATTTTATGCTTCTGGCGTATAATATACTACATTTATTAAAAATGTCAATTCAATTTCGTCCCGTGGGTTTCGTAAGAGGTGACTACGGAATGTACCAATCCGATAGATAGCGGTATGAACATCTCGTCTACTCCACGGGTAAAATACGCAGGCCGGTGAAGGAAAACAGCGTCAAAGGTGCGAAACGTAAAGCGTGACGAACTCTCTACAATATGGGTGACTCTACAATAAGATAGGTACCTATAGCATTATACAACTAATTACTTTAATGATTTTTTTGTGGTTTTTAATTTGTCCACAAATAAAACGATTTGATTATGACTGGCGTAACTAGTTTGAAAATTTTATTTACTAGTGTATTTTTCTACATTTTAATTAGTGGCACTGGTATTATTTTTTTTTTATATTAGAAGACGGAGTGACGAACGCATCCAAGAAGTTAATAGGTGCAGATGACTGTGAAAATTTAATAAAAAATATTATAAAACAACTATGAATATGACAAATCAGCGTTTAAAAACGGTATTCTGTGAGGGCGTCCTTCACCGGTCGAGCCGACCCATTTATTTGTTCCCCCGACATCTATTTGTTTCGAACTCAATGCCAACACGCAGCGAACGCCTTCAACAGCACGATCCTGCTGCGGTTCCCGTGGCAGCCGTGCCTCGCTTGTTCAGTCAATTCATCAGCATTTCCATAAATAATATACTACATAGGGCAGGCATTTCGACCAAACACACTTAGCGAACGGTCATGTCACTCGTTTCTGCGCCACAACCAAACGCGTCTATGCAAATTGTAGGAAAATTTATCAACCATGTGAAAAATGAAAAAGTTTTAGCCCCAAATTCGCCGCCCCGAAAATCTGCCGCATTGGCTCCAGCCTACTCAGCTTGCTGGTAAATCCGCCACTGACTGCAGGTCTCCATAGACTGCAGGGGCCACTACACACAGGTGAACTCATTCGCCACTTTTATTTTATAGCAAAACAGAACGAGGTGAGGAATGAGAACTCTGGGAAACTCCTAATAAGCAGTTTAAAAGATGTGAATAGTTGCACGAAAATATGATTCATGTAATCCAAGCGGAGTCTCATGAATGGCCATTGTTTCTAACTCAAACAATAATACATCGTGGTTAACGACATCGAGTGCTTTATGAATTATGAAAATAAGTAAATAGCTATGAACTTATAACATTGATATTTTTCAATATCAATAGCATTAGAACAAAGTAAATAGCTATGAACTTATAACATTGATATTTTTCAATATCAATAGCATCAGAACAAAGTAAATAGCTATGAACTTATAACATTGATATTTTTCAATATCAATAGCATCAGAACAAAGTAAATAGTTATGAACTTATAACATTGATATTTTTCAATATCAATAGCATCAGAACAAAGAGCTACGAAGAAAGTACAGTGAAATTTTAACAACATTTAACTTAGAAATGAAAGGATATCTGAAATAAAAAGTAGGAGTGAGACATAGGTGGGCTGTCACTTGGCAATTTGCATTTGTGTATATATACAACGTACCCCTGAAATGTAGACTTTGTTGTATCTACTTAATGTATGTGAGAGAAAGGTATGAAAACATTAAATTCAAATTGAGCGAGTAAATTGCAATTAAATTATTTGGTGAGATAGGCAATTTGGTTATTAGACTTTTAAGTCTTTCACGACGTTACCTACGCACGTACTTACGCAAAATAATGAGTCACTGCGTCTCTTTCGTTCTTGTGGCAAACTGCAAGCATCATTTCGCGTCACTGCGTGCATAGGTAACGTCGCGAAATACTTAAAAGTCTATCACCAAATTGGCTATCTCACCAAATAACATTTATTTTCTCGATTCACATTTTTTTTCGCGTGTAACATGTGACTAGCTATTTATCATAATTTATACTTACTTTATTTTTTCGTTAAACTATGTGTATGTGCCTAAATCAAGTAAGTGGCTACTGCAGCCCATGGCCACCTGCAATAAAATTCGAATAAAGAAAGTCATAAATATGGCGCATTAGCGTATTGTGAAGACATTTTTGAAACGAAATATTATAAACGATAATTAAATGGTTAAACGTACTTACCTTAAGTGAAGATCAACCATAATTATACGAAGCTCCTTGTCCGAGACGTTCTTTACAACTTGTAGTACGCCGTATTTTATACCAGTACATCACAGCTATCCAAGCTCCTAAAAATTTCGAAACTGTACAACGTATGCATAACACTATATCCGTCAAATGCAATGTCATTATGTTTAAAGTAAGGGATTAGATGAGCAATCCTAACCCAGGGAGGGTTGGGCTGGGAGTACCGTCTCGGACAAGGAGCTTCGTATAATTATGGTTGTGCTTCACTTAAGATAAGTTCGTTTAACCATTTACTCTCTCCTTGTCCGAGACGTTCTTTACAACTTGTAGATGTTTAAAGACAGGATTGCAAATTATAATACCAATGAATGGAAAAATTTGCAATTTTCCTTATTTTATAAAAAAAAGAATTTGAAGGTATTAAATATATCTATAATAAATATTTGATTAAATAACTTATCTTTATTTTATAACATTTCCTTATACACGTAAGGCCAGCTTGATTGCAGCAGAAGTGGCCCGTAGAAGAACTATGGTTGAGAAAAAATACAATAATCTGGAATATCTGTTCCAGTTTAATTTAAGTATTTTTTTTCTAAATAGGTTTTCGGAGTTAATGTTAAATTCATCAATATCTTGTGTTATGCTTTCTATTAAATATTCACAGGAAAGGCTTAAGCTTCTCTCATTTATTTTTTCCTATGCAATCGCTGTTGAAGTGAAATTCTACCTTATATCTTAATTATACCTCTGAAATCTTGGAAAAATTTAATATTGATGAAGGACAGTATTTAATAAATTGTATGACCTGTGACTCATCACAGCTTAGCTTGTTATTAGTTTTTGTAAATTTTTGTAATCTCTGTGGTGTTAATAATTTGTTATTTTATTAATTTAACATGCCTCTGCACTTGATTCATATTTACCGCCCATCTGGACAAAAAAAAACCTATGGTTCTATAAACCTAATTTTTTGACAGCATATTATCAGCATAGCAAATAATGGAAATGCATAGAAGAATCACCTTCAATCTAATATAACTGCCATGGTTTCTGAGTCATACCCACAGAAAACGATTGATCTGTATAATAGTATTATTATTTCTCAATGCTAATTGATCAATTTTTAATTGTGACACCGTTTTAT